CGGGTAGGCTATGTGCACGTTATTTATATAGTCATCAAAGTTCGCAAAATGCTATGGGCACCACATCCGGCTCAACAATGTTTCTGAAGTCAGTAATCTTACAATCAAAGATGAGAACAACAAAAAACTAGCAGCTCGTTATTCTCCCATCAATAAATTGCCCGGAGGACATTTCGAAGGCTGAGATCTGCAGAAAGGCGACGCATATGGGATAAATTCTAGGCTTCCTCAGCAAACATACAAATTGTGAGAAAGCTGCAGTACAGCACAGTTCGGGCAAGTCAGGGCACAACACAGTGCGACAGAATCCAAGGGTAACAGAGTAAAAGGTATGCAATTTTTCGAAAAACTGAATATCCAAGGAACGTCAATTGGACATCACTCAGCTGGCCAATTATGGCTGATGCGAAAACACCAATTAGAAGCAAGCGCGTCACAGTCCTATACGTTAACAACCTCGCTTTGGATGACAGCAAGGCCCTCACGCCAGCATAATCATTGGTCCTTCTACAAAACTTTAAACAATGTGGAGGACACCATGAAAACCTGAACACAAATTAAATTAAATGATGAATAAAGTTTTCCCCTAATTCAGTACGCAAGAAGATGGAACGCGAGCTGCCTAAAAGGATTCGGCGTATTTTGGAAAACAGTTCCGGACTATTGTTCAAAAAGTTGACTCAGAAAACAAGCGGGCGTTTCTTAAAATGCAAAACCGCTTTGAAGCAAGAATCAGGCAGCGGAACCTAGGTAAAGAAGCCACTACTGCAGGAGTAGGCCATACTAGCGCAACCCATTATGCACGGGTCGGATCATGGTTCAAGTGGTGACATCACTATGTTTGCTAATATGGTCATGAGCCTGTAGTGGTTAACGGCCCTATGGAGTCTCTAGTGAACAGAGCAAATTACTAATGTCAGCCANTTGACCAACCTGGTGTGAGAGACTGTGAGTGTCGCGGGACACTCTCCAGTATAGCTTAGTGGATCGCTGAGGTGCGCAAACCGTCACACCACAGTAAGGTCCAGTCTCTTCGTGACGGCATGTTCAACATCTGTGGGCGAACGCCCCGAAAGCACTTGAACCTTGATTTTGCATTGGCAAGCAGCGAAAGTTCAAGCATCACATCCACAACAAAGTTGAAGGGGAAAGGTAAGAGAGGGCTACCTTGTATTAAACCACTGGAGGTGGTATACTCAGATGAAATCTCGACGTATGATCGTACCCATCCACACACAGTGCCTTCACAAGAAGTATAAACGACGATCAGAAGCAGCTTTCAGATCCAGAAAAAGGAGTAGCGTGGGACGGTTCAAAAAGTGGCGATGTTCAAGAACTTATCTCAAAGTAAATATATGGTCAATGAATCCCCAGCCAGAACAAAATTCAGCTTGATTCTTTCCAACTCGTCTCTCCCAATATCCAGTTGACCTGCACAACATAATGCTCAAGAGCAACTTGGATGCCACGGCTATCATGGTTTTCCCATGATTTTCTCCTGACGTTCCTCAAGACTAGAATCACTATCGAAATGCGCCATTCTACTGATGTTCTGTTTCCGTTCCAAATCTTTCGTAATACGCTTGTCCGACGGCTCCCCGGGGCTTCACCAATGCAAGGTGCATACCATTCAAACGGACACTTTGTAACGTACGAGAAACGACATTTCACTCCAGATTTTTGTTGTCGAAAACCTAATGGCGCTATTTCCCACTCAGGCTCGTTGGGTCCTTCTATAGGCTGTGCTGAAGTAGGCCAGCTGCGTCTGAGGGATATTACGAGGTGTTTGGATGTTGTTGGTGTTGTCCACCTTCCAGGATGGAGTTCTCCTGATCCACCTGAGCTTGAGCGAAGTTGTTGCAAGATGTGGTGACCAACCATTGTCACTGGCGTTCGTGCTGTCATTTTCTGTCAGGATTGTCTAACTGGGTGGCTGGAGATGTAGGCACCTGAAAGTGATTGCAGTAAGTTGACGCAGGGTCCATCCCACGTTCACCGACGCCCTTTGCTTCAGAGCGAAGCACCAGCGTCAACACTGATGTTTCTGTCTATGGTGATAATGAAGATGACGATTATATGCGACTCGTGTCAGCAAGGATCCATGCGAGTCTGAAGTCAGTAGGGGGAGAAACGGCTCAGTGATTAGAGTGCAAATTTACTGACTAGAAGGTCCGTGATTCAAACTCGACCACTGCCTATCGCGTGTTGTATTAGTAGTTTTTTCAAGACGACAAAATCCAAGCTCCTCGAAATACCTACGTCTTTTGACCTAACTGAGCTTCTCAGAAAATTGACAAGAGTCTGGCCCGGACAGGCTCCTAACCCGTTATTTCTGGTTTCACAAGCAATCGGAGTAATGTGTGACCCAACATAAGAAAGGAACCAACTGATTATAAGATTTTGTTGGAGGGAACCATGCCACCTTTTTCAGCACATTACGACATGTGTCACGATCATCAGTAGTGGGTGGATGAAGTGGCTAGGCCTACCAGTTTTGTTCACCGATGGTTTTATAAAATAATGATGGATAGCTACGCATTACAAGCAGTAGCTAGTATATTTGGTGTATGGTTCCAGATAGTTAGTGGACTTCCGTGGGAGGAACGGGGGGGAGCAACGCATCGGGGGCAGTAACTAGGATGCATGCGCGCAACTGAGAGCACTGCTACGACATTTCTTGACCTCCTCTGACCCCTTCCCATCTTCCGCGATGTTGTACGAAAAGGGCCCTTCAAAGTTGATCGACCGAAACGCGGAGCGTTTCGCAGATACCAGCGTAGTCTACGTAGTAGAATCAGCTCATTTACCGTGTGCGAGTTATTTTCGATGCACTTCACCGCCCGCTGGACTCGACGACTGTTCCAGAAACAGCGATGGCCAAATACTGAGTTTCTAAGGTCATTAGCTGGTAGTTGCCAGGCTTCTGACCCACAAAAAACATGGGAAACACCGCAGTATTGCAAACACAACCTTTGACAGAAGCATAAATGTCACGCTCACGTCATGGATGGTGCAGGCTTGCAAGCCCGATGCGGATGAAATTGCCGCCTCCAGCTAGACGGCTCGGACTGATTTGGATAAATAGATAGATAGATTTGTTTGATTGCCTAATGTCAAGCAGGATTTTCGGGTTTGGGCCTAAAAAGCCTTGCACAAACACTCTATGCTTTGCAACTGTGATGTGCATACCAAACAGTGTAACAGAACTGTGGATTATTTGAAATTGCATTTCGACCGGATCAGATACAGGAAGAGACACGTAATCTGAGTATTCGACGTCTGTGAGCAAACACACCAAGGAGCATCTGGACCCCAAAGACACTTGAGAGTGAATCGCGTATAATCTCAATAAATAAGTTGAGAAGGAGAAAGAAGGCCCTGGTCCAAGGTCACTGGACGTAGTGAACTCAGGTGGGAGCTCACCGTAGACCTTTAATAATCGATCCCGCCAAGAATTTATGGGGAAGTGTTCCAAGGACACTGTCGAGGTGCTCAATGACCAACAGTCAAACGCAGCTATCAGGTCAAGAAAGACAACACTATTGGCCGCTGGAAGCACTCTTCGTCCCAGAATGGTAGAGAGTGCGTATGCCGGATTCATCTTCTTGCCGGAGGTGATCCAACTCGGCCTGTCTGCTTTCAGTCGACCCTGAAAGGATTAGGTTGGAGAGCACTTTCAAAGTCACAGTCACCAAGCTAATACTGCAATGATTTCCAGTGTTCATGTGTCCTTTCCAAGATAGGACAAAAAAGCAACTATAATATTCACCGCAGTGACTGCTAGGCCACAATTCATGGGAAATTCTTCATTACACAATATGCCAACCATTAGTCTTGGCAGTCAGAAGCCTTTGGACAGGTGAGAAATGAACGAAACCGCGGAAGAGCAGGATGGTGGAACCACCCGCAACCTGTTCACTTGTTGAGACTTCACACTAAGTAAGGACGTAGAGTCCTACACCAAAATATAGCTGTGGAGAAAGACGAAGGGAACCCCGAGAGCAATATGCAATAAAATTCAACCATGAAGTCCCAATTTCTATAGTGACAAACTGATACAATTCTGGCGAGCGTCAGCTTCACGTAGGAAAAACTGGACAGGGTACTCTTAACCTCGGTCGATCAAGCAGTTCAAGGTCCGCTGTTTCTGAAGCAAGTGGCAAGGTGCTGTTTAGGTTCCTCTACGGAATCCTATTGTAAACTGCACCGGAATTCGTGGTTATGAATCCGACGTTCAGATGCTTGACAACACCCAGGAAAGTGCAAACCGGTTAACCTGTTCGTTACTGAAAATCTTAATATGACAGACGAATACGAGTGGCACAATCAAAACAGTGAACTTTAGGCACTAGAACGTTGGTTTCTGAAAGAAGTCCCGCTCTTAGCTGAGAAAATACGGGCTGAAGGAGTCGTGCAGATTCTCAGGTTGTTTTTGTAATGGTCTGGCTGAAGGAGCAGATTCTCAGGTTGTTTTTGTAATGGTCGACTTCAGTTCAGCTTTTAATCCTGTAGCTCATTAGATTGTTAGAATAACACTATACACAGTAGGCTGAAAAGTAAAGTATGGTAGGTAGCATTAAGAATCCTGGATCCAAAACTTCATCCACGGACGTACGGTGTGTGTCAGAGTGAACCATGGCCGTTGAATTGTGGTTGGTGTGACAGGGATACTCACCAAGGTTTGGTGCCCAGCCGAGTCCGACAGAGCAGTCAAAGAAGCAAATGGATGTCTTTGGACGAAGACCACCACTGGCTGTCATACTACCTAAGGCACCTCTCGCCGAACTGTCCCAAGGCAAAGGACAGTTGCCCATCCATCGCCGGGGAGCGGAAAACTTGTGAATGTGGAGAGCTTTTCCCAATCATTGCTTCACTGACTAAGCGGATATAAACCTGGTTGCTGTAACGCGTCTTTAAACAACTTCATTCATAGGTACGCTACCAACACCATAGAGGATCAAAAACAAAACGGTAAATAATGGAACACTATTGAAACTCACTTGGAGAACGGTCAGGATATGGCAAGGGTTTAGAGCCCAAAGGAGAGACCCCGTGGCGCATTTGAACCCCAGTTCAATGCCGAAAACTATACAATGGATGACCAGAAGTCCTTGTCTCATAGGATTCGAATTCCCAGGTAGAATGAACGCGGGAAAAGTCAACCTTGGCAACGCCCAGATCGATAGGTAAGCAAAAACACCAGTTATTGTCAGTGTCTCCAATAAGCGCTGACTCGCAGGAAGATAGTTCACGCAGTCATCTCCTCCAGCACCGGGAAGGCTGGTATTGATACCGGCGAACGACCACTCGAACATCTCGAGCTCGTTGAGCCCTACGGACACCAAAAGACTGTGTAATTGGTAAGTGCGCTTGTACTGCCGCGACGCAACAGTTCGAAGGAGAGTGCACGTGCGAGCGGCTGGAAGGGACAGCGCAGCCAGCACCTGACAAAAAGGAGCCGGCGGGCAAACTGAACGTTCATTGGTTGATGGCTCATGGTTTTCAACGGGTTCCTATTACCAGGTTATCCAAGTTAAGTAGGTTAACCGGGCTTACTTAATTCGGCAAGGTTGGCTAGTGTTGTCGGTCGTCAAGTGAACCCTGAACCCTACACCACCTTGTCATTCGCTTGGGTCTTTCAGGTGAACGTACGCCGCTGAAGGACAAAGTCGACCTTGACCGGGGAAGCTTGGGCGAAAGCCTCGATCCGGTGTGTAAACCTAAGAAGCTGTGAACTCGCCGTGGCAACAGGTTTAGGTGCATGGGCGAATGGGAAGCCGGAGGCTCGTAGGTCCGGATCGGAAGTTGCTCAATACTGCCCGCAGCTCCGGAATGAGAAATAAAGATACTCTACCATTGAGGGTGATGCGTATGTTGAATAGAAGGTGATAATTTGGTTCCACTTCGTGCTGAGCGTTACTCCGTCCTTTCAAGGAGCGATGCGGAATGCTACATTATTTTTGTTGAGTTCTGTGGCCTAAAATGCTTACTACAATATCTTGAATCATGCTAATAACCAGTCGACAATAGGCGTTTATGAACACGTACCAGAATTTCTCTTGGTTGTATAAAACACATGGACCTCGCCAAATTTAGGGCCACTGACAGAATTCAGGGTAAAATAAGTTTGCCTCTAGAAGCAGTCCTCCTGGCGGTTTAATCCAACCAATCGCAGGGGCACCTTAATGGCCAGACCGCTCCCGGAAACCCAAGGAACCAAACGATAGATACGTCCTCAGAATCTTCGAACGACATTAAGTAAACAACTTGGAATGCGGCATTCCGTGCACTGTAGACAGACACCAACAAGATTTCCGTCCGCCTAATTTTGACTGCGTCTTCTGAATGGTAAGCTGAATCGTTTGATAACACTGAAGCTAAGATATTAGTTGAGGTTTCTCCATTTTCCGGGTCGACTCAAAACAAAAATAGCCTCTAGAATTGTCCGCCAGTTGCACAGTCTTGTACAATCAACTCGTATCCTCCAACATTACTCCTGCACTGTTTTGCGATGTGCTGCCGATCGAAAATTCCCCCACGGTGGGTATTTTTCCTTTGAGCACCGTTCATTATTATGGCTGGGTCCGCTGAAAGGTACGTTTTTCTCGCGACCGCGACTGAGAAGTGTTGCGAGCTGCTATGTTGTGCACCTGTAAGTGAAAGTCATTTGTAACACCTTCACGCCCTCCGTGACGGAGTTCCAGCGTGCATTGACCACTTTGAACCGCCATTGACCCATGCCGTGCAGAAGCATGCCTGGATTCCGTATGCCAACACACCCACCAGCAATCGTGCAGGTCAACATACTTCCCCGCAGAATATGCTGTTTCTAGTGGAAGGTACGTCATTAACCAAGTAATGATGAAGAACTCTTCTGAGAAACAGTGGTCGCTGCATAGGCACACCTCACTTTCTCTGCTACTAAGCCCTGATCAACAACCATCAAATGTTCCCTAAAAAATTCCGCCACACAGCCGTAACAAGAATGCACTTTTTCGGTCAGCTTCCACAGGGACCAGATACGCAGGCTTGACCATTTTCCGGCAGCTCCGAAAAGCTGATGTCATGTCCGTCTAAATGCAGCATCGACAAACTTCAAGGCGGAGATGTTAGGCAGAATTTCACACGGATCCCGCTTTTCCGCACGTCTTTAGGCGCTGCTGCGGACGGTCCGGTATCAAGGCGAGATCTGATCAATCAGAAATCTGGACCCAACAGCCAATCGTGGCCCGGTATTGGCCAAATGCAGGTTGTCAACGGCGCATCCAGAATGCGTCAGAACTTCCAGAAAGTTATACCCGCTTACGCTATATATACGAAGCGCTATACAAATGTTCTTGACTTCGTTTTGGGCATTAATAGACTTTGTGAATCTTTGGTGGATGTTTTCACGTGAACGCTGGTTTGAGAGGCTCAGACCGAGAACTAAGCTGAGGAGAATACCGTTACTACAGTTGGCAAACGAAAACCCACGATGTCAATCGGATTTGATCAGCTCCGAGAACTACTGCAGCAGCAACAAAAGAAGTTTGAAAGAAGCGCAACTGAAGCTCATTGAATCACTTACTCAGAAACTGCATATCCAGACAACAGCTGTCAGTACTGGTCTCCTGTTTCCTCAACTGATGCAGCTGCAGCCTCAATTACGGAGTTCACATTCGACCCTCATTCTGGTCAGACTTTTGACTCCTGGCCCAGGCGGCACGAAGATATGTTCAAGGCTAATTTTTCCGAACTTGATGATGGATGGAAAGTCAGACTATTGCTGCGGAAACTCGACACACCGGAGCACGAACGGTTGACAAATTTCGTTCTCCTCAAGCTGCCTTGCGACCTCAGCTTCGATGAAACGGCCAGAAGACTGTCCCAGGAATCCGGCGATCAAACATCGCTGTTCAGTAGCTGCTACCAATGCTCAAAGTGGGTCAAGAAGGATAATGACGATTTCATCACGTTTGCCGATGTCGTCAACCAAGAATGCGAGCGCTTCAAGCTCACCTCAATGACGGAGAATCAGTTTAATTGCCTCATTTTTGTATCCGGTCTCCAGTCATCACAGGATGCTGACATCAGAACCCGGCTTCTTAACAAAATTGAACAGGATGCCGAAATGACGTTGCAGAGCCTCACCACTGAATGCCAACGCCTCATCAACCTGAAGCACGACACGGCTATGATTGGTCAGACACCTGTGACCTCAAGCAGCTGTGTACAAGCAATCAACTCCAGCGTGCCCAGGAGATCCGACAAGAACCCCGATCGAAGACAGGGTAAGCCTCCCACAAGTTACTGGCATTGCGGCGAGTAGCATTTTGCTCGTTATTGCCGGTTCAGGCGTCACAAATGTTCCAGGTGCAGTCGTCGCGGTCACAAAGAAGATTTATGTCGATCTCAAAGTCTGCAGCCACCCGCACACCACCGTGCAGCCCACAAATCGCGGTCCAACTCGGTGACGGCAACATTCAAAGTTGATTT